ATCTTCACTGGGACAGTACGGAGCTAACAGGCGGGCTCCAAATGTTCCCAATGTTAAAGGACCCGTGCACATTAGGAGAGCTCTTTCTGGACGACTATAATCTGTGGTTCCCACCTCAGGAAGCCTGAGCACTCTCCTTGTCAGAGAGGCCAGGCCTACTCCATCCCAGACTTGGGCCCATCTACATCTATGTGAGCATCTTAGTTAGCGTTTCTGTTGCTGTGATAAAACACCACAGCCAAAATCATCCCTTGTGGAGGGATGGGTTTATCATCGAGGGAAGTCAAGGCAGGCACTCAAAGCAGGAACCTGGAGGCAGGACCTGAAGCAGAGACCGTGCTTACTGACCAGCTCTTCATGGCGTCCTCATCTTGATTTCTTGTACAATCTAGGACCATGCGCCCTGGGATGGCATGGCCCTACAGGCCAGTCTTATGGAGGCAGTTTTTCCCCCCAAATAAGATTCCCTCTCCGCAAATATGCCTGGGCTTGTATCAATGTAACAAAAAACCAACCAACCAGTAAGTCTTACAGATTTAGTACCCAGAATCCCTTAAGGCTTTAACTGCACTCAGCATTGGACAGTTCTGATACTAAGTCCACACTCTGGATGAGCTTAGATCTGCTGATGCCTCCTGGGTACTTGCAAAGCTCTGAAAGACCATTCTCAATGCTGAGATTATACTAATGACTCCAAGCACTGGATAGAACCTGCAGGGTTTCCAGAACATTCCAGAGTACGGAGACCAAATAAGCTGCATTCACCCAGGGTCAGGAGCTTCCACACGGAGGTTGAGATGCTCCTATGAAGCAGGAAGGTCTGTGGTGACAAATTCTGTTCAAGAGGAGCAGGTGAGCTGAGGCCTTAAAGAAATGGTCACAGGGGCCTTGAGGGCCAGTTGCATAACCTGTTCTGCCTGGCCCTCTGAGGAGCCTTGGTTTACCCATCACTTCACTTCCACAGTTTGAATGGAAGCAGGAAGGACCATGTCCCTATTGTCTGGGCTTTGGGTGCCCTCTTGTGGCGCAATATTGATTTTGGGTTTCTGCAGCATCTCGTGCCCTCTCAAGTGCCTTCAAGGTCACTGCTATTAAAACAAAAGGGCAGGGGACGAGGGCATAACTCAATGGGAGAGAGTGTTTAGCCTGAGTGCACTGGCAGTCAGGAAAAATCTCTCCCACTAGCATCCCCCAAGTAAACACACAGAGACTTATATTACTTATAAACTGTATGGCCATGGCAGGCTTCTTGCTGCTGTGGGATGTTCTGTATGTCCTGTGGGAGCCCTTCTTGGGTTCTTTGTGGCGTTACCCAGCAGGTCCGCATAGAGGATGATTAGGACCATGGGCCTGAGTGCAGGTGTCTGAGATGGTCTGCACTTGGCTGTGCTGGGGCATGGTCTGTATGTCAAATTGTTCTGATTGATCAATAAATAAAACCTGATCGGCTGTGGCTAGGCAGGAAGGATAGGCGGGACTAACAGAGAGGAGAAATAAAAGGACAGGAAGGCAGGGAGACATGCTGCAGCCGCCGCCATGACCAGCAGCATGTGAAGACGCCAGTAAGCCACCAGCCATGTGGCAAGGTATAAATTTATGGAAATGGTTAATTTAAGATAAAAGAACAGTTAGCAAGAAGCCTGCCACGGCCATACAGTTCGTAAGCAATATAAGTCTCTGTGTTTACTTTATGGGTCTGAGCGGCTGTGGGACTGGCGGGTGACAAAGATTTGTCCTGACTGTGGGCAAGGCGGAAAACTCTAGCTACATCTTGCTATCTGTTTTTATATCTTAAATTAACCCATTTCTATAAATCTATACCTTGCCACGTGGCTCACCAGTATCTTACATCATGCTTCTCCTCGTGGCGGTTGGCGGCGTCTCCCTCTGCCTCAGCCTTCCACCTCCCCGAATTCTCCTCTCTCCTATCCTGCCTACGCTACTGGCCAATCAGCGTTTTATTTATCAATCAATCAAAGCAACACATTCACAGCCTCCCCAGCACAGCTTAAGACAGGTGTTGGGGTTTTTATTTAGGAAATGACATATGGACTACTGCAAGCAGGATTTGGGGGAGCTAGTGGTCTTTGGGGGACTAGAACCCATACAGTTTTACATCTCCCTGTTCTAGGCCTCTGCTCCTATCAGTTTCTCAGGGTCTGATGCCCTCAGATAGAATGCTGCCCTCTGAGGAGGTGGTCAAGACATGTTTCAGTTCCCTAGAGAGGGAGGAAGGACACAGGGTGAATTTCATCTCATGAGATAAGTGGCATTAACCACAGAGATGTGCAAAGAGGACCCGTATTAGGAAAGAGATGTACCTTTTATGAAAATGCCAGAGAAAAACAGAGGCAGGTGCTATGTAATATTAAGCCAGAGACTGCCTCATGTTGCTGGTTTGTTGACTGAGATAAAGGCAGGCCACTCTGAAAGGACCTCCCAAAGCAATGCCTCTTAAACTCCATTTTGGCTAGATCTCAGGTGGTTTGAAATGTCTTGAGTTTAAAGAGGCAAAGTGAAGTATCTAATACTCTCTCATTTGCCAGGCTGACTTATGTCTATTGGACAATAAGGCACAGTTGATCTGTGTCCCTTCAACACACTTTTAAGGGGAATTCCTTTTGGTCAGGTACTATTCAAGAACTCAACAAATGCTCACTTAGTAAATGTTGGAATAGAGATTGTTAGAGTTGGAAGCCCTTACTGTTTCCCCTATTTTCAGGAAAGCAATGAGAGGACCAGAGAGCTAAACTGCATTCATTCATTCATTCATTCATTCATTCATTCATTCATTCATTCATTCATCTATTCAAGTTTAGTCACTACTTTCTGTGTGTAATTGGGCTTTATATGTAAAATCAGAGGAGAAAGAGGAGAACCATTGTGAATAAGGTAGAGAAAAAAAATAACCAGAATGCAGTTTGAACACAGGCTCTTCAGAAAGCAGAGGTAGGTTAGCAGGAAACAAAAGAACCCCCTCCCCCCCCAAAAAAAAAACAGAAAACAAAACACACACACACACACACACACACACACACACACACACACACACACACACACGGTCTCTATGTAGTTCAGGCTGGCCTCAAACTTAGATTATCTAACTCAAACTTAGTTTTAAAAAATAAAAACCTCATAATTTTCATTATATAAGGCAAAAAAGAAATGGAGGAGAGGAAAAGGGTGGGGCACACAACCTGGGGGTCAGGGGATTCCTCATTTTGGGGGACAAGGCTTGGGGAGCCCCATTGTCTCAGCTCCACAGGCATGGCTCCATGGAGCAAAGTGGTGCTATGGGCTAGGGAGAGGAAAGGAATGGACAGAATGGGTGCCACTCAGCACACCTGGCCCTCCAGGAGCGCCCCTGCTGAGTGGGGAGAGGGGATGTTCATGCATCCTGGGTAATACACTCAGTGAGAAGGTGCATCTGTTTGCCCTGAAGGTAGAATATGAGCAGAGAGGGACGCAGAGCTGGGCCTTCACTGAGAGCTGCAAAACCAGAGGTGGAAAAGAGCATTGTGTGTGGTGTGTACACACATGCAATTCTGAGCAGCCTGGAGTGAGGACTGGGGACTAGATTTTGCACGATGTGAGGAAGGATGAAGCACAAAGCTGTGACTATTAGAAGTGCCAGGTTTAGAATGGGCAGGGCGCTTCACACCTGTAATCCCAGCACGTGGAAGAAGCAGAACCTAGTTTAAGGCCAGGCTCGGCGGATCACCCAGCTCCCGCCATACTGTCTTTTCTCTTCCTGGACCCAAACTCCAACTTTCAGATCTGGGCTATTTTGTGCCTGAAGCCAGTCTTACATAGGTCTGGCTTGGCGAACTAGGTGCTGAATACCCTGTCTGCCCCTCACTAAAAGGTCTTCTCTCATGACACAGGCAGTGAGCTTTTTACCATTACAACTAGGAAGGATAATCAGTACCCTTGGCTCTTATGGCAGCCTGTGCTCACACCGGGTGTTTGATGACTTCCTCATGAGGCATAGTGCTGCCATCCTGTTTGGGTGCTCCCCTATTTAAAGCAATTCTCAAAGTACTGAGTAGTAGAGGTTCTTAGAAGCCAGGCCCCACAAGCCCTGGCCTCTGACAGCTGGGCAGCCAAAAGCACCCCTTGACTTGTCTTTCTTGGGAAGTCTGCAGAGGCACAAACCTGTGCTGCTAAAGAGGGAAGGCAGATTTCCTACAGTCCTTTCAAATAGGCACCACCTGCTTGAGAAAAGGGAAACTGAGGCCTGGAGAAGGAAAAGCAGTTTGTTCGGCATCATCAGGAAAATGTAAAAGAACAGCCAGACCTGGAGACATTGGGTCTTTTGCTGGACTCAAGATACCTGGACCCTCTCACAGAAGTTTCATTTTGACCCAAAGAAGGCACCAGTCATTCTGGAAGATTCACGCCATCATATACGTGGCTCATTTGTGCATCTAAGCATGCCTACTGGTTGAGTAGGATGGAGCAACTGCATGTGGGTCTATGCGGTGTGGTACCAGAATCTTCTACACTGAGATATGGTCCTGGGCAGCCCCTGACTGATAAAGGGCCACCACCAAGAAAACTCATGGTTCTCGAATGAAAGAACCTACCAAGACCAGTGCTCAACACTTAATTCCATCCACACCAGGAACAAGGGCTTGATAGAGGGTGATCTGAGTACAATGTGGGCCATGTGAGGGTAAGTCAACAGCAATTTGACACCAGGGGAGGAAAGCTGATGATTCAGTGGGAATGAAGCGTCAGACACTGAGCTCCCACAGCCCCGGGACACACACCTGAGGCCCAGGGGACCCCCTCCTAAGAAGCACCCAAGACACGGTCCATTTCTGTGCCACTCAAGCAGCACTTTAAAATACCTTATCCTGTTGTCCTCAGTTAGAACTTAAGACTGAACAGACAGACCTGTTTATCATTGTGTGTGTTTTCCCCAGAGAATTTTACTTGGGAAAGGCAGGTATCTAGAAAGGAATTTTGATAGGAAATATAGCACACAGGGAAGGAAATGTCTCAATATAGAAATTTTAATAAGTAAATATATTCTTTAGTTTCAATGGTGGGGAAGATGTACATGGATGGCTGCCAGCCAGACCCACACACTCAGTATTCCTCCCCTTCTTCTGCCTCTGCTTCCACGGAATCGACGCCCACCTCTTCATAATCCTTCTCCAGCGCTGCCAGGTCCTCCCGGGCCTCTGAGAACTCCCCTTCCTCCATGCCTTCTCCCACGTACCAGTGCACAAAGGCCCGCTTGGCATACATGAGGTCAAACTTGTGGTCCAGGCGGGCCCAAGCCTCTGCGATGGCAGTGGTGTTGCTCAGCATGCACACGGCCCTCTGCACCTTGGCCAGGTCTCCCCCAGGGACCACGGTGGGGGGCTGGTAGTTAATACCCACCTGCCAGAGGAGGAGAAAATACAGTGAAGTTTATAATAACCTCGGAAATACGAGAGTTCACTAGAAATCGGGAACTGTGGACCTAGCTTAAACTACAAATACTCATACTATACTTTGGGGAATGAATAATCACCTTCACAGAGCAACACGTATACAGATTTTAAAGTACTTACTTGAATCACTAATGGCCAAACTGCAAACAACACATGATACAACAAAGAATGAGAACCCTACCCAAGGTATAGTATGCTTAGTTAAAAGGAAACCAACTGAAATATTTGTATTTGTGTATACAAAACCCCTATGTAGCAGTGAACTCTAGCAAGGAGAACTCTTTGGAACTGAAGGATGATAACCTTAGGAATGTGCAGGGGTGGTAACCTTCTTACACCCTGATGAACAGATGGCTGTTAGCAGCAGCTAGGAACACAGTCAGACTGGAGGACGGAGGCACATGGGTCCTTCTCTGATCAAGAAGTACACTCCCAGTTTAAAAGGGATATCCTTTGCTCCTCAGCTGGCCTGTCAACCAACAACACTCATAAGAGGCATAATATGGGGCTGGAAGGGTGTCTCAGTGGTTAAGTGCACTGGCTGTTCTTCCACAGGTCCTGAGTTCAATTCCCAGCAACCACAGGGTGGCTCACAACCATCTGTAATGAGATCTGGCGCCCTCTTCTAACCAGCAGGGGTACATGCAGACAGGACACTGTACATAATAAATCTTTAAAAAAAAAAAAAGGTAAAAACCATAATATATCTTGAACATGCCTCCTGTTTTATAGGGACAAAAAGCCTTGGGGCAGATAATTCAGCTTTCAGCCTTCCAGTTAACATTTTAGTATTACTTAAATATTAATATTATTATTAAATATTATTAAAAATGTAAGTTAATATTTCAGCCTTCCTTTTAAATATTTTGTTATGTTTTTTATAATTTAAAGGCTCTAAAAATTATTTGAAAATCCCAAGCTGGCTGCAGACTATGTGGCCAAGGATGATCTTGAACTCACTCTAACGCTGGGATTAGAGGCATGTGCCAACCATGAATGTCCAGCTAAAACTCTATTTTTAAACATGGAAACTAGTGTAGACCAGCAATGGTTGTAGAAGACTGTGTGATAAGCCACACTGATGCTGACAAAGGGGCGAAGGGACTAAGAGGGGGCATGTGGTGTGGCAGACTTTCTGTAGGGACAGCCAACTCCTAACTTACACTTCCCCACAGGCAGCTCTTCACTATGGTGGTATTCTAATTGTACTGAAATGTGATTTTCATTGTATGTTAATAAAGTTGCCCCGGGGGTCAGAGCTATTAGAGCCACAGCAAGAGCGTGGTGGTGGTGGCGGCGGCGGCGGCGGCGGCGGCACACGCCTTTAATCTCAGCACTTGGTAGAAGAGCTAGGTAGATCTCTGTGTGTTC